CGCTAAAATTCAGACTTAAGTAGGAGGATTTCCTTCAGGCTGATGGTGAATTGTATATGAATGCAAATCACAGACGACACCGTCTGAGATTAAATCATTTGCAGACGTTTGTTGGAATCAGCAAAGATGCAATCAGCGAGAGATGCACTAGGAGACAAATGAGAGTCGACTGAACATGCACAGTAATTATAAGAAAGTTGATAAAAGTTCATTCGCGTGTGCACCTTGATACGTTTAACAATGCTAACTCAATCTTGTTACAGCAGAAGTTCCATTTTTTTCTTTGTCTTTCTCTTTAAAAACGACCAAGCAGCACCAAATTTACAAGCTTGTCAACAGTGTTGAGAAGAAAAAGAGACATCCAAGTAGTAAACATCCCTTCAGCTATAATAAATACAGCAAACCGACTGATCTAACATTCAGTGTGACTGTTTTCAGTGACCTGACAGTGTGAAAAAAAAAGCCCTGGAGTCTTTCTTCTTGTAAATTGTCAGCTTGTCTCTGCCTGAGTCTTACTTTTAATCCAAACCAATCAAACTGCTTTTCTTTAGAAAGTAGAAGCAGCACTTCCTAGCTTATACACACAAAAAATGGAATTGCATTTAGGAACTAAGGATGCTTCAGTAAGTCTGTTCTTAAATTTAAAAAGAAAGGTTAATTTTACATAATTTGTGCAGGTAAACAATGAAAGATCAGAATTTTGCGTTAATGGATGTGGAGTTCCTCAGGGCTCTGTGTTGGGACCAAGATTGTTTATTTTGCATGTGAATAATCTGGTTGATGTGTCAGGGCTTTTGAAGTGCGTTTTATTTGCTGATGATACCACTTTATTTTTTTGTTCGGGTGAAGATATTGAACGGATGTTAGAGATGATACAGGCAGAATTTGTAAAAATACAAACTTGGTTCCAGCTTAATAAGTTATCATTAAATTAAGAAAAAAACAAACATGATATTTAGTAATAGAAAAAAAAAATCAAAGTCCCATTTAAAATTGACAATATTGAAATTCATATAGTTAATTAAATAAAATTTTGGGGTGTCGTTATTGATGAGAAGCTGACATGGAAATCTCATGTAAATTAACCAATTGCATTACTGTATAAAGTGAACGAATGACAAAGTTGTGTATATGTTGTATGATGTAATGATTGTTCCATATTTAATCTGTTGTATTGAAGTTTGGGGAAAAGCATGAAAAACCATTACAACCCCTATTTTTTATTTTACAAAGAAGAGCTATAAGAATTATTAGTAGGAAGTGCTATGGTCGCCCAACAAATATATTATTTCATCAGTTGAACTTATTAAAATTTTCTGATTTGGTTGAATATAGTACTTTACAAGTCATGTATAAAGCCCATAAAAATATTACCCCCAAATATTCAATTAAAATTTGTTAAAAAAAAAGAGTCATTATAACCTTAAGGGAATGGAAATGTTTGTAAAACCTCCATTTAGAACTAGTCTGAAGGAGCTGCGTTGTAATTCAGGGAATACGTTGTGGAATTGCCTCAATATCAACATAAAATTTTCTAAAACAATTTATATGTTTTTAAATATGATTAAGTTAAAGTTGTTGGGAAGGTATGGTGCCAGGTGAAGGATGCCTGATATTTTTTTGTTTTCCATTTGGAGATTGTTCAAGCGTAGGTTGTTGTTTAATTGTAGTTATTTTTATTTTAATTAAGGGGCATATATTATATTTTTTTCTTCTTTCTGCACCCTTTTCATTCAATGTTTTGTTTTTCTTTTTGATGAATTTGTTTTGTTTCTTTTAAATGAATGAATAAATTAATAATAAAAAGAAAAAATGAAGACGTTACATTGGATGGGTTTTATTTCATGATGGTGTTTGCTTTGTCATTCACAAGTTTAATGTTTTTATCTTGATGAATAAAAAGATGCTGTTCTGAACCTGGATCAAATTAACAGATTTTACTTGCAGTGTTAAAACCGTTCGAAAGCCATTTAATTATTCTAACGTGTTTGATATTTCAATTAGATCTCCACGGAGTGATTGTAGATTCTAATAAAGCGTCATTACTTTAACAATTTTGTTGCTGACTTGTTGCCGTTTTACTGGGGATGCAGTTGAAGGCTGGTTTTAGTTTGATTAGCGCATTTACGAGAAAGGAATAAACTGATGCGCCTCATCATGCAAAGCGTTAAAAGGTAACAAAGACGTCAAAATTAATTCTGAATGTAATTTGTAATTAATATTTATTTCGTTCGGAGCCTTGACACGGTGTTTTGCACCATCTGAAGATGATCAACCACCGTTTATTAAGATAACTTTGTTGTGTAACTGAAAAAAGAAGAAATTAAAAGCAGAGGTAATAATCGCTGCTTAAGGCTTTTATGCTTCATAACCGGCTAAATCAATAGATCAATATGCTACATTCTTACTTTGTCAACGATACTCGCATACAATGATTTCAGTGATTAAAGGCAAAGTTTAAAAAAAATATTTTTATTCATTCAACCTTTATTTATACAGGTTAGTCTCATTCAGCTTTTTATATAGACAGCACTTTATATGT